GTAGTAGAAGTGTAACTTCAAAACTTTTATCATTTAACTTTATTGTAAACTTATCTATTGCAATGCATATTTTCACATTAAAAAGCTCTGAAAAATGAACAGTATCATCATCGTCAACAGATTTTTTTAAGCTTAATGTCAAAGATGTACACTTTTCATTAGATTTATCTTATTTTTTCCATTTATTTTTTGTGTGTTGAAATGCAACATCTGTTTAAACACTTTTAAGGGAAAAAACATATTTAATATGTTTTTATACACTCAAATGTTAGGGTGATGATCATGTGTAAAACATTAGTTCAGCATGTCCTCTAACACAGCAAATGAACAAACGGCCAGATCTCAGGAGGGACCGTTTATGTATAAATAATTTTTATACTTTTGACTAGGCCTGGGAATGTAACAAATTTTGCTGGACGATATTTTGTCCAACAAATTGTTGATGATAAACGATATTGTCAACATTATCTAGACCAAAATAACCACTGATATAATGTTAATATATCATAATAATGCAAGTACACCCTTTAAAATGCAACAAATAAACCTTCATTTAACATTGAAATGTCCAGAACCAGAACTTCTAAATGAATAAAAATAACAAACAAAAATTGAATAAAAAAGGAATCTCACTCCCTGTTAGAAAATGTTGCACCAAAAACAATAAAAAAGACCCAAAAACAATAAATACAATGGCCTATCCATTGTCAACAGCCAAAACTGCACTTCAATAATGATAATAAATAAAAATAATAATAGAGTTGTACATTTTTTAACTTTGATATATATATATATATATATATATATATATATATATATATATATATATATATATATATATGATGGAAAAATTATTGAGGTGGGCACGTGACGTGTCAAGGGGTCTTTACATAACACCCCCCACCCCAAATCCGCTCAAGCCTGCTGTGTCCCCCCCACTTCTGAAATCAAAATTTCGTCCCTGCTGGTAAGCCATCGTGCCCTGTGGGGGAAACAGGCTACGTTCAAGATACTTTTGTTTCTCAGAGCACCACTGGAGGGTGGCAAAGCGTGTTCAGAGGGGCTTCATGCCGACAGGAAGGGCAGGCAATCACTTGGGGCCCCCACCCCTGAAAAGGGTCCAGCAAACGATGAACTTTGAACCAATCGTGTCCGTGTTTAACTGTTCATTGAGACTGTGAGCCTGTGACTGGTCAGGACTCCACTTCCTATTATATTTGTCAACAGCACTGCCTTTTCCCCCTCAAAAACAAAGACATTAAGTGGCAGACACAGACCCGATTGAAGAACTTCTTGTGAAAAACATCAGTCAGTTTGAACGTTTATACACCGACGAGTTCAAAGATACGAAGCAAACTTTTTTTGTGTGGAAGGAAATTACAGGAAATGTGGGTTTGGAGGTGACGACGGAATGAAGAGGAGGAGAATAGAGAATAAATTGTCCTTGTTAAAAAGTCACAATACATGGATACTAGGTGTGAGAATCAATTTTTAAAAAATAGGTTTGTTATTGATTAATATTGATTCATCACATCTTAACCATTCAAGAAAATTTGCTTCCGAGCAATTTTTCAAATCAAAAGTAATGAGTGAGGCACAAATGACTCACCCACACTTTAATGAGTATATCTTTGTAACCACAAGGTCTATTTGATTATTTTGATCTGATTGTTAATGTAACCATCATGTTTTTATGGGATGTGTAAATAGTATTATATGTGTTATTAATGAAGTGTAAATGAACAATGAACATTGTAAATGTAGTGTACTGAACTGAACACTAGACGGCAGCAAAGCGCTGCTAACATATACACAGGTGTAGTGTAGAGTTCAGTGGAAGTTCTGCCGAAGGTTACAAGATGAATGCTGTATGCTCGTCCCTCCTGCTATAATAAAGTTTATATGGATAAAGTTACTGCTTCCTTCTACCAACTAGAAAGCAGTAAAAAAGTACATTTTTTAATTTATTTTCTTCATGATGTGCACGTTATCATGATTCATTTAATTGTAGTTGTGTTTGGAACACGTAAAAATGGTCTGTATGGTTTATTGTAGCCCAGGCTCTGCAGTCTTGTTAGCTGTGCAACTTGATATTTATTGATAAATAGGGACTAAATTGTGAAGCTAAACCTTTCCAGCTTTATATATATATATATATATATATATATATATATATATATATATATATATATATATATATATATATATATATATATATATATATTTATTTATTAGGGCCGGGAAAATTAGCGGGTTAATTATTTGCGTTAATTTTGTTATTTTAACATGTTAAAAGTAAATGAAGCAATTCATTTGACAATCTCTCCAACCCGGAGCCACCACTCTCCAAAATTTCTCCATATTTCCCCCTGGACAATATTGCTAAACCATCATTTACTGAGCCCGAAAAAAAAATCAAGTTTCTACCCATATTATGGACCCTCAGCATCGAGGATTCTTGGGAGCGGAGAAGATGAACAGAGGCAGAGTGCTCATGCGCTCCACCGGCATCTGCGTCTTGTGTATGGCCACAGTAACTCACTCAAAGTGGTGCCAGCCACCAAAATTATATTTAACACATGATTGTTCATAACTGCTTTGGTACATCCTGTCTTTTGTTCATGGCTGACGTGCATCGCTGCTGCGCTCATCACCCGTGAGTGCAGGCCAGGCGGCCAGGCAGCAGTTTCTCTGGAGAACTAGATCCCGCATCTCCCTGTGGCAGATGCAGGACCCAGAGACAGACAGGACAGGATAAAAGTCAAATAAAAAGAAAACAAAACAAAGAGCCTGGAAAGGAAAATGTAGGTAGGCTTTATCCCACTACATGTTTTAACGTTATAAAGTAAATATTATTTATAAGTTCATAATATATTCCATACAGTTCAGATCACCTTCAAAACTCAGTCCTAGCCAGGGCCGTATCAAAGCATTTGGGGGCCATGCAAACAAAGTGCCCCTTATTTATTTTTTGGGGAGGTGGCAATCCTAATTCAAGTGATGCTGTTGAAAATGATATTTACATTGAATAACATAAGCTAGCTGTGCTAGATTTGTTTCCTGTTCATTGTTTACGCAATAGACTTTTTCAAACAATGTTTTTGAACAGAAACTGGATTTGATTTTAGGTTGTCTCTGTTAGACAGTATTGAGTGATTTTACACACTGCAACAAGTTATGCCCTTTCTAAATAAAATGAACCTCTCTTGTATATTTTTGCATGTTTATCGCTTACTTTTTCTGGGAAAATAATTATAATTAATTGTGATTAATTATTTTCAGATTTGCAATTAATTTGTTAAAACATTTTAATTGATTCCCAGCCAATATATATATATATATATATATATATATATATATATATATATATATATATATATATATATATATATAGCTGACTCTAAATCTTGTTTTTAGTGTGTATACGTTCACATGTGTTGCCTGTTTGGCCTTGAAACCGGATGGACAAAGAAAGCATACATGCCTTTTATTTTTACAACAAGATGTGTTGTGCTCTAAATAGGCTGGTCACTGATTTCCACCCACAGACAAACATTCCCTGCAATATCGCTGCATGACTGATGAAATATGAAATAAGGTGTTAGAATATGACTTTGTCCTTTGTCTTTTTTCAAAAATCAAAACCAGAATGAGAAATGTGTCTTGCTTTTGTCGGCTAACTGGAGAGCTCAGTTCACATAATTGCCTAGACTAATTGTTGCTTTTGATTTCAGGGCTCTTGCTGAGTTACTACAACTGGAACGTCAAGGAATAAACTCCAGATCCGATCTTTGCAGGAGGTGAGAACTCAGACATTGGGTTAGGCCTTCAGAGAGGTCTGGCTCAGAGAGAAGATGCAGAAATCACAGAAGCTGCTAAAGGGATTCCCCCCCCCCACCCCCCCCACCCCCACCCCAGCCCTCTGCCATGCCAGGCTGGTGTGAAACGGACACTTGTGGGCTCGGCCTGTTCTGTCTGTCCACAGTTGTTAATGATAACATGCACGGGCCTCAGCACCCACATGAGCCTCTCATGGCCTGCCAAGTGGTGTGTGTGTCTGTGGTGCTAATACACACACAGCGGTGTAAGAACTGGACTCATCCATCTCCACCAGCCTCCCTCCAAAAGGGAAATTACTGCTCGTGTTCGCAGTTAAAGTTTTATCGAATTAGTAGTTATTCCTTTTCACTTTACTTAGACTTAGCACAATATGTGTGTAAATTCAACCTGATTAGTTCTAATTTGGGATCTTCAACGGAAAACAAGATCAATTTCAATCTTCAAT